CCTCCTTGGGGGCAGGCTCCGTTTGGGATTTTCCCGGGGCCTTGTCCCATACCCTTCTCCCCCCAACAATTCCATCTCTCCCTAGGAGATAGGCCGCACGAGTTCTGCAGCTTCCGCCTTCCTCCTGCCGTTTCTGGAGTGTTCGTTATGCCAGGGGTGAACTCCTTCAGCGGCGCCCCCTGGAGGACAGGGAAAGACGACAAACACATAGATCATGTGCTAATATGCGTAGCTGGCACCTCCCTGGCACGTATTAAGTGCCAGCCCCTTTTGAAAAAATACTTATCTTTAACATTGTGGTTAAATACACAGAATGTAAAATTTATCATCTTCACCATTCTTTTTTTTTTTTTTTAATTTTTTATTTATTTGAGAGAGAGAGCATGAAGGGGGGAGGGTCAGAGGGAGAAGCAGACTCCTCGCTGAGCAAGGAGCCCGATGCGGGACTCGATCTCGGGACTCCAGGATCATGACCTGAGCCGAAGGCAGTCGCTTAACCAACTGAGCCACCCAGGTGCCCCATCTTCACCATTCTAAGTGTGCAGCTCGGTGGCATTAAGTACATTCACGCTGTTGTGCAAACTGCACCACCATCCATCTCCAGAACACTTGCAACTTCCCAAGCTGACACACTGTCCCCATTAAGAAACAACTCCCCATTTCCCTCTCTCCCCAGCCCCCGGCAACCACCATTGTCCTTCCCACCCGTGTGAGCGTGACCACTCTAGGTACCGTGCATTAGTGGAGTCATGCAGTGTTTGTCTGCATGTGGCTGGTTTCTTTCACCAAGCATGATGTTTTCAAGGTTCATCCATGCTGTAGCATATCGCAGACTTCCCTTCCTTTTTAAGGCTGGATAATATTCCACTGTAGGGAATACCTACCCCACTGTGTTTGCCCATGCATCCATCAGTGGGCCCTTACGTCATTTCCTCCTTTTGGCTATTGTGAATAACATTGCTATGAGGCCAGCCACTTTAAAAAACATGTAAAACTCATTTAATTCTCCCAACGGCCCCATGTGGAAGGTATTGCTTTTATTCCTCATTTTACGGGTGGGGAAATGGAGGCACAGAAGTTAAAAGACTTGCTCAAATCACACAAGCTACAAAGAGGCTGAGCCAGGCTTCTGCATCCAGGCAGTGTAGCTCAAGAGCCTAAGAGTTGCACCTGTGGCCCACACTGTCCTCTCACAGAGAACCAGGAGAGCATGGGGCTGGTGCTGGGGGGAATTCCAGGAAGGCTTCCTGGAAGTGACCTTTGAGCTGGGTTTTAAGAGTGAGTTTTTCACTAATGTCTAACAGAGAGAAGGGCTAGCCTTTTCCAGCAGAGGGAAAACCTTGTGTGATGTGACTAATAATACAAGGACCCATGCCCACACCACTGCCCCTGCAGTGGCACAAATAGGAACAGAGAAGATGCATGCTGCTGGTTATAGAGTCTCAGGAGATTCTCCACTCCCCATGCCTCCGCCCTACCATATTATGGGAATCAAGCGCCATCCTTGGCCAAGCCAGACTAGGAGACTAGGAGAGAAGCTTCCACAAAGACTCTGCAGGTTCCCAAAGCATATCAACTTCCCAATCTCCTCGCACCCCAAGACCCTAACACCCCGCACACTTGTGGGGGTGGAGGGGGAGGTGGTGGGTGTAGTGGGGGACGAGGAAGTAAAGACACGTGGACCTTTCTTGCCCTAGTGCGTTCTGGGCAAGTGGTGATCCTCAGGCTCCATCGGAAGCACTGGCAAGTCCTGCCATCTTGCTACTCTATGCTAATTTCAAAAACCCCAAATCTCCTTTTCTTCCCTCAGAGCTCTGAAAAAGCCCAAGGTCAAGAGAAACAGTTGTTTACCACAGCATTTTAATTTGCTTATCTAGGAAGGAAGGAACAAAGGTTGGACATTCTGGTTATCTCAGCTTGAATCAGCTTAAATGCCAGCATAGAGGCCTTGGGAGAGTTTCCGTGGGCTACTGCCTCTCCTAGGAAATGGTATTGAGATTTAAAGTCGTGCACAGGCATGGAAGCAGGATTGGCCCAGGCACGTTTGGGGATCCACGTCTGCAGGATATGGGCTCTGAGTTCCCAGCACTTCCAGGCACATGACTGGGTGTGTTGTGTGTACAGTAAGTGTTTGAGGTGAGATCCAAATAGAATCCTAATAGAAAGGACCAACGGTGGAGAAACAGGCTGTTTTGAAACAAAGCAAAACCAGGGTGCCAAAGATTGTTAGTTGTCCTCCTGCGTCCATTGTACCCATCATTCCTTTCATAGTAATAGAATTTTTTAGTGGGCACATGGCTGCCAATCAAAGACTACATTTCCCAGCCTCCTTTGCAGCTAGGTGTGACCAAGCAAGTGAGTTCTGACCATAGGGATGTAAGCCGAGTATTCTGTGCCAGCTTCTGGAAACCTTTTCTAAGATGGGGCACACATGGACTCTTTGCTTTTTATTCTTCATCCTTTACTCCATCCTGCTACCTGGAACATGGATGCTGCCATCTTGGGCTATGAGGTCAAGGCCACACGTGGTGGAGAAACAAGGGAGAAAGAAATGGGGAACCTAATAATGTGTGGTGCTGCGTGAGCCCTGGACCTCTGTGAGAGACAAATAAAATCTGATTTTGTTTAAGGCAGTGACGTTATTGTTCTTCTTACTGTTATAATTTTGGCAGGAATACCACTTCTGTGGTATCGTGTCTCTTTCAGTGCATAAGGAGGGACATGATGTTGATCCGTCCCATTGCTGGTGATGGTGACTCTGATCACTTGGTTGATGTCATGTCGGCCAACTTTCTTTACTGTAAAGTGACAGTTTTCCCCCTTGTAATTCACAAATATCTTACGGAGAGGTACTTTGAGATTACATGTTCCTCCTCAAACTTTTACCCACTAGTTTCAGCATCCATTGATGCTGATGATGAAGAGGATGATTCTTGCCTGAATGAATGATCATTATGCTAGCTGTCAAATGGTGATTTGCCAATTCCATCACTCTTTCTACGTTTATTAGTTGACATTCAAATGTGAGGAAGAACTTCCTTCCCTCCTCCCTCCCTCTCTCCCCCCCTTTCACCGTCTGCCTGGATAGCCCTGCTGCACAGACCTGCATAGCTGGCAAGACCCATCACCCTTGGCAGCTGGGAGGTCTCGTGTGCTTTGGGCTGAGTGAAAGGCCAGGGCTGTGGCTGTCTCATTTCATCCTGCTGGGGCCTGGCTGAGGCTGGGTCTTTCTTCCATCGCCGGTCTCACGTTGATGGCCGTGTGAAGTAGAGATTGGGAGGTGGCCAATGAGGTGGGACAGTGTGGAGAATGTGTAGAGGAACTGCTCCTTCATGTTGCCAAGGACAATGACCTGGAATGGATTCCTCGTCCTGACTTCTGGGAGTGGTGGCCAGATGGCTGGGAAGGACTGAGGGTCACATCATTAGAAGGACTTTCACAATGTCCTTCCAACCCAGCTGGTCCAGACATGTTGCACCTGGGCAGATCCATGCTCCCACCTCTGTTCTCTGGAGTCCCCTAACCTAGGTAAATGCCCAGTACTGCCTCTCAAGGAGCTTGAAGTTGGAGGGGGATCCATTCAGCCAGTCCCCATCCTGGAGCATCTTGGAGGAGGCAGCACATGAACTCAACTCTCACAGCACAATGCAGCAGGCCTGTTTCAAGACCCGTACCGCGCCTGCTGGACCCTGCTGCCAGAGCGCCACAGGGCACCAGGCAGAAGCCAGGGACCCCATAAGCTCCTGTGGTCAGACTCACACAAATGCAGGAGCTCACAGACTCAAATGCCTAGAGCCACTGCTGTACAGTGATACGTCGGATTTTACACTTGTCACAGAACCCTGTGTTATGAGACAAAGCTGTCCAAATTGTCCCTCTGTTCCCCTTTCCTCCCTCCCTTCCTCTGGACCTCAGGGGCATAAAGTTAATTAATAATACGCCTTGGTTCATGACATCCTCTCAACATCGGTCCCTGCAAGGCCATCTTTTATTAAACTAATGAATTAATAGAAATACTATAACAAATGCTTAAGAAACAAATGCCCTAATGACACCCAGAACATTGACACTTATTTGTACCCATGTGGTTCTCCCCTACCCTGTGCCCCTTCCTCCCCCTCCAGAAGCAACCACTGTTCTGAATCATGTGGTCTTCATTCCCTTGCTTTTTTACAAAAAGCTTTACTGAAGCATTATATCCCCACAAATTATGATTTTTGGTTTAAGTTGTTTTACATTTACACAAAGATATGCTGTATGCGGTCTTTTGGGACTTAACCTTTTTACTCAATTCCATTGCTAAGCTCAGTGAGTAAGTGGTCTATTGAATTTCTGAGTAGGTGAAGAAATTACAGCTCATCCCTGTGAGGCCAGTGTTCTTCTTGGCTAATGCTGGTTTTATGCTAGTCTGTGGCATGGAGAAATTCTATTTGATGGGTCCTGGGGTCATGCTCTGTAGCTCTGATTTATTTAGCAGCTCCATTTTATGGCCCTCGGAAAAGCATATTTTTCTTTGTAAATGATTATAGATATTTATAATGACTGGGTCCTTATTTCGATGACACCTGTATAAAATGCTTGGTGCTCAATTACCGGCAGTCTCATTATGGGACCGCAGGCACTAAGCGGGCGAGGGACCGGTCCTTTTATTTCAGCACCGAGTTCACAGAGTCCTGGGCCTCCTTGCCCCACGCAGTCCAGACCAGCCAAGGTCCTTTGGCCTCAGTGAGCCCAGGAGCCAGCTGTGGTGCTGTGGGTGGCCTCTGTGGGCCACTTCACTGTGGGTTTACCCCTCCAGGAACGGGGAGGCAGGCATTCTCCCCATTTCCCATCTTGGGCACTCAGGACTCGGCGTGGAGCAGTGGCTGGTTTTAGGCCACCCGGAGGTGGGACAGGCCCGAACCGGGCACCAGCCGGGAGCCCACGCCCGGCCCCTGCGCGGCCTCCCGCTCTCGGAAGCCAGTTTGAAGGACGCTCCTCCCCTTCTCCCCGCCCTCCCAGCCCACGGGCTCCCGGGAAGGGGAGGCGCTCCCCCGGCTCCGGTGACACCGTCACCACGGCAACGCGGCCATACTGGCCCCAACGGACCCGGGGCCTGGGCTGCGGCGGCGCGGCTTCGTGGGCAGAGCCGGCAGCATGGACAGCCTCTTCGTGGAGGAGGTGGCCGCCTCCCTGGTCCGGGAGTTCCTCAGCAGAAAGGTGGGTCGCGCCGCCTCCGCCGCTCGGGGCCGCTGCCCCAGGGTGAGGGCGCAGTCTGGGGGCGCCCCTGCCAGCTCCGCGCCGTCGCGGAGGGAGAGCCGCCCCCTGCCGCCCCCTGCCCGGGGGATGCCCGACGGGAGCGCCACTTTCTCGGGCCTGCCGAAACTACATTTCCCAGGAGTCATTGCTGGCCCCGCGCAGCGCCCGCCGGGCCGCCCGCCACGCCGGCCCGCGGCCGCCGCCCTGCGCAGGATTCCCGCGCCTCCGGCGGGGTCGCGGCGCGGGGACTGGGCGCGGAGGCGGGGAGCGGGGGCGGCCCGGGGAGGCCTCATCCCGGCCTCTTAAAGCACAGCCGCCTTGTCGTGGCCCGGAGCGCGTCGCCCGTCCCGGCACCTCCACCCTGCCGGGAAAGAAGGGCCCCCGGAGGGAACCCAGGGGGCCAAAACACGCTCCCGATAGTCGAACGCTTCAGTCGTGCCCCTCGGCAGTGGGGAGCTCAGGGGTTGCAGCCGTGGTTGTTTTGAACTTCGTTGTTTTGCGCCGGGAGAGTTTTCGCAGTACTCAAAAGTTGGGGAGGTCCTTAGCAAGCCATCTGCGGTGGAAGTGGGGACACCGTGGGAAAGAGGTCGCTGGAGGTTACTGCGCAAGCCAGTGTACCCTATTCCATAGTCGAACTCATTCCGTACAGAGTGAGCGAGGGATTGGCCCTCGTGGTGTCGTGTTGATCAGGGGCCACGGGCAGCTGTCTGGGTTAAACATATACACAAACAAAATCATTTTTTGAACGGAAAATTGGAAGGGCTTTGGAATCAGGCGGAGCGGTTCAAATACCGGCAACTGGTTAGCAGTGTGAGCTTGGGTCCGTTACTCACTGCCTCAGTTTCCTTATCCGGTAAACAGGACTATTAAGACCCACCCTTTGCAGATTTATGATGAGGATTAATAATGATATATGGGCAGTCCCCAAGCATCGTATCTGGCACATAGTAGGTACCGGTATTCAGCATTGTCTTCATCCCCCCATCCCTCATGTGCATCTGTTTTGAAAGTGTCTTTTTTTGCTTTCTAAAAAAAATTTTTAATTTAAAAAAATGTTTAAATGCAGCGTGGCTTCATTTTATCTGCTCTGTTTTTACGGCCAATTGACCTTCTGTCACCAAGTCCTGGCTGCACATTGGATGTCAGTGACATATCCTATGAGGCTGCCCACTATCATTTCTTTTAAGTCTGGACCACCAAGCAAAACTCTCAGAGCTTTCCTCATGCCTTGCCTTCCTTGAGGACAAATGAAATCCACAGTCCTCACCCGCTGTCTAAGGCTCCCCTGTAGCTTGACCCCAGCGTTGGTTCCAGCTTCTCCCACATGCCTTTCCCTGTTCCACCCACAGCCCACCCCAAGTCTCTTTCCTTCGGGAGGTCTTTTTGGATAACTCCAGTTGGAATACCTGACTTACCTTGTCTGTGGCTTGCTCATTGGCGCTCACGTTATAGTTTATACGTCTGCCTGTCTCTCCCACTAGACCAGTCCACAGAGCTGACACCAGATCCGGGGGAGCCTGGCCAGTGTCTGGTTCACGGGGCCTCCTCTCCCTTGCATTTTTTATTTGGGCACACTAAAGCTCTGACCTGACAAAGGAGTTGCCCACAGTCACTCAGAAAGTTGTGGAGAGCTGGGACTGCAGTCCAGATCAGCTGCTTACCTCATCTCCTTCTGCTCCGGCGCCAAGACCACATACTCCCCTCAGGGCTTGGCACAAGACAGGTATAACCTAGAGAGTTCCCGTCATGGTGAGAGGTACCTTCTTGTTACCTGTTTTCTCAGATCCTCGTAACCGTCCTGAAAGACAAGTATACTTACTCCCTTTCATGCAAGATGAGCATGAGATGAGGGGGCGAAGAAACTTGCCCAGGGTGAGCAAGTTAGAGTTTGTCACTCCTCTCCTCAAAACCCTCCATGGGCTTTTTACTACAACCAGAATAAAATCGAAGGGAAGGCCTCACCCGGGCCTACAAGGCTCTCTATGACCCTGCTGCAGGCTGGGCCTCTGACCTCACCTTGCCCTCCACTCTGACCTCCTGTGCCCTCCACCCTACATGGCACCCAGCTGCGCTGGCCCCCGTCCAAGTGTGGTCTGCCCTCAGGGAGAGTCATGCTAGTCTCCTGCAGGGTCAGGGTCCTCCAGGGTGACTCCTCTCGTGCCCCAGCCTCCCTCTCCTGCAACGACTTGACCCCATCCTACCTCCGCCACCCTTTCCAAAAGGTCATGTCCTAGGCCTGTTACCAGCACTGCACCCCTTCTGGAATCTGTGCAAGCATTCTGTCATCCTCACTTGCAAGCTCACCTTCCTTAGCAGCCAGCCTGTAATAAACTGTTCTTCAGTCTCACTCACATCTGCATTCCACAGTTCCTGCCAACTTCTTCCGGGCCCAGGCCCTGTTGTGACCTCTCCCCACTTCATACCTGCCCATCATCATAATCACACCCTCAACAACATGCTTGCCTCCCTTGCCCTTCTCTTCTTTCCTCATGTTCCCCTGAGTTTTCAGATTCACCTCGCTCCCCCCATGCCTGCCCTGCAGCGCTGAACGGGGCTGGAGAGAAGCACACCACTATGTGGACAGTTTTGCGGCCCCTCGGCCCCCTGAGGCCTCAGGTATGCCTGCCCCCCTGGTTATAGCTCTCCAGCCCGCTCCCTCTCTCCACTCTGGGATGGCCGTTTCACACCTGCCCTCTCCTCCAACCCCACAGCTCCTTCCCCATTCTCATTTCACTGAGAAAACAGAAGCGGTCCTGAGAAAACTCCCTATGGGCTGCACCACTAGTTGCAAACCTTCCGGGGCCCGGACCCTCACTCTGCCTCCCTCCTGCTCTTGCGAGCAAATTCTCCATACTCCTGGGAAAGGCCACCCCCTCCCCGAGTGCCCATCCCCTCTTGCCTGCTTGAGGGCACTGCTACAGTTCTCTCTCTCTGTTCTATATACATTTTGTCTTCTCTACTGTCGGCCCTGCAGAATCCCATCTTGAGCCCTCAAGTCCCTCCAGCTACTGGCCCATTTTTCTTCTCCCTCTTACAGCCAAACCCCATGAAAGAGCGATGTGTGCTCTGATTCTAATCCTTCTTCCTGCTTGCTCAAACCCACTCTAATCAGGCTTCTGTCCCCACCAATCCACGGAAACAACTCTTGTCAAGTTTGTCAATGACCTTTAACTTTCAGTCCTCACACTTCTTGTTCTAACATTATGTTTGGCATGGCTGATTGTGTCCTGCTTCCTGGAAACTCATTCTGCTTGGCTTCTGGAGCCCACCTTCTGCTTTGCCTCCTCTAACTTCTCTGGTTCTTTGCTGGTGCCCATCGTTTCCTGGAGCTGTGCATGCTGGGGGACTCCAAGACTCAACCTTCTCTTCTTTCCTTCACTTGCTATTTTCCAGGTGCCTCGGCCAGTCTACTGGATTCCAGTGCCATCAATGTGATGACAGTTCCCAAATGCCTATCTCTGGCCCAGGTCTCTCCCAGAACTCTTACATTCTTTCCAACAGCCGATTTTACGTTTCCACTTGGGTATCCAATAAATATCTCAACATGTCCAAAATCCAATTCCTGATTCCCTCTATGTCTTGCAGTTTTCCAATTTCGGTAGGCAGTATCACCATCTTTCTGGTTGCTTGGGCAAAAACCTTTGCAATCATTCCTGGCTTTTCTCCTTCATGTATACCCCACATCTGGTCCATTAGTACATCTGTTGGCGTTGCCAGCAGGGCACATAGAGCATGTAGCCACTTCTTTCCACTTCTGCTGCAGCCACCTGGTCCAAGCCACTTCCATTTTTCACGTGAGTTGTTCGATAGCGTCCTAACTAGTTTCTGCTTAATCCCTCCAAAAATCTGTTCACAACCTAGCAGCCAGTGATCCTTTACAAATACAAGTCAGTTCATGCTCCTCTTTTCACCCTGCCCCCACCCTACCATTTAACAAAAGTCAATAAGCCTTTCCTTTTCAGGCTCTGGGCAGCCTCTCTGACCTCATTTCCTGCCACTTTCCCCTGGTCACGCAGCTCCAGCTGCACAGGCCTCCTGTGACTGCCACAGGGCCTTTGCCCTTGCTGTTCCTTGCTGAGAACACACTTCCCCCAAGTGTCTGCATGGCCTGCTCTCCTAACTTCCCTCATGTCTCTGCTTTAATGTCAGCTAAAAAAGAGGTGCTTCCCCAACAGAATGTCAGCTCTGTGAAGGGGTAGGGTTTGTCTTATTCTCTTGGTATCTCCTGCATCTAGAACAGCCCACCACATAGTAGGTGCATAGGAAATGTTTGTTGAGTGATGAAGATTAAGTGGACCAGATGGGACTGAGGACTGGCTGCTTCCTGAGGGCATCCTTATCCACTACCCCAGTGGTTTTCAAATGTTGGTGTGTACCACAGTCCCAGTGAGTTTGTGAAGTGTGCCAAGACTTGCTGATCTGAGCTGTTGACAAACATAGAGTTATCCAGCAGAGAGGGGCTCTCGTGGTTTCAGCCTCACTCTGATTGGCAGGAAAGCCATGGGGAGACGCAGATGAAATGGGGGTGCTTGCTATAACCCCCCCTCCTTCCAGTTCATTCTGCCTAGAGCACCCAGGCATACCCCTGCATTTCCCCCAACACATACACCCATTTTTTTGTGTTCCCCCCTCCTCAACACTTCCTTTTTATTCTCTTGGGTTCCAGGTTGTGTTCATACCTCTTTTTTTGCAAATTCTTCTTCTCTCACTTCATGGCAGGCAACAGGTTTTGTCTTGTTTTCCCATCAGTGGGAGCCTCTGTAAGATTGTGAACACAAAGCCTGGGGGAGAAGTTGAAGCCTGGCTCCCTTGTGGGTCTGGATCCATGAAGAGCAAGGGGCTCCCTTAGCGCCAGGCTGAGCTGTTCGGTGATCCATGTTTGGTGATCACCATGGCCCAGTGAGGTGGGCAGGCAGCAGCTTCTGTGGTTATTTTTCAAATGAAGAAGCCAGGCTCACAGGGGTCTAGCCCTTGCCATTGCCAGAGTGTGTCTTAGCTGGGCCTTCTGCCAGGTCAAGCTGGATGATGACAGTGGCCTCACTGGGAACTCAGCAAACGTTTACCACGTGCTTCCAGTGGGCCTCAGTCCTGGCTTTGCCGACTCACACGCCGGGATGGTCAGGACCCCCTGCTATGGGATTCTCCTGTGTTACCTGGGCAAATCAACCCTTGCTCTCACCTGAGAAAGGAAAGGAATCATTATTGGCCTTTTGCTCATTTTTGCCCCTTTAGTTTATTTTTAAAGCTTCATATTCTGTGGTTCCAAATCTAGTGTCAAACCCAGGGCTCCAGCCTTGGGTGAGTCAGTGACCCGAACCTCCCTTTCCTCTTCTAGAAAATGGGCCAACAACTCCAATTTCAGCTCAGCCCATGGAGTTCTTGTAAGATTCAGAATAATAATTGTGAAGCCGTCAAGTGTAAAGGTTATATAAAAATAAATTCTTAAGTCAGTTTTTGGTCCTTGCGAGATCCTTGTGAGGAAGGCAGGATAGGCAGGATAGGAATGATCATAATGAACACCAACAGTCTTTTATTTATAACCATCATCAGAGAATGGAAGGTTTTGATTTAAAATGAAAATAATGATTCAGATTTCTTCCTGCAGGGCTTAAAGAAAACATGTGTGACCATGGACCAGGAACGCCCACGCTCTGACCTCAGCATAAACAGCAGAAATGATCTCCGCAAGGTTTTGCATCTTGAATTTCTCTACAAGGAGAACAAGGTACGTGCTTTGAAGGTGTGGTGTAATGTTCTGGAACTGAGCTTGGCAATGTCAGAGCCCTTATGGGCCCTGCCAAGCTGTCGGAGATGGGTGACAGGAGGCTCGCTGTGCCTGCTGCCAGGGAGAAACAGACCCGGCCAAGTGCTGACAAATCCCAAGTGTGAGTTGGGCTTCCAGGCTCAGTCAGGCCCCAGGCCGCCCCCGTGGGCATATTGCGCATGTGTGGCTGTGAAGCTCACTTTGAACCTGGGCCCTTAATTGTTATTCCCTGTGCTCCCTCCTCCCCTACGAGGCTGTTTTTAGTCAGACTGTACTTAAGAATATAGTATTCAGTTCTACTAAAACTTTCCATTCCCTGCCTGTGTAAGATTTTCCTTCTTCAATTCTGAGTAATAGCTTATTTTTAAGTCTACTGTGACATTTAATTTAGGCAGAAATGGGGCTTGGGGTCAGCTAACCCTGGGGCATTGGAATTGAGATAGTAAATGGTTGGGGGGTGAGGGTGGGGCTTCCCTGATCCCTCCACCTCATCTACCCCCCACCACCTTGATTATAAGCCTCCATGGCACCCTGTAGTTTTCCTTTGTTATGCTGCGCACGCTTATGATAGAGTATGTGTGTGTGGTTGTTTAATTAGCATCCACCTCCCCACTACCTTGGATGCAGCAGGAGGCCAGAGACTGGCATCTCTTTGTTCACTGTTGTATCCTCATACTTAACATGTTGCCTGAGGACATAGCAAATAGTCTGTATGTGTTTGTGGATTATATGATTGGCTGGCTGACTGACTGACTGAAGCTGCAATTCTGGCATCATTGTTTTTTCTGCTATGAAGACAGACTCTTCTAATGTGATTGAAGAATGGGCTCTCCAGCAGATGTTGCCTTGTGGTAGGCCATAGCGTCAGAGTTGGAAAGAACCTAATGATCATGTAGTTTAGCATTTATCATAATTTTTTAAAGAGGCAATAAAATGATATTTCCTGCAGAAGTCCAAACATGTAAAACAAAGAAGGGAAGCCCCATAGTTGAATTGGGGATGAAGAAGACTTACCTTCTTGGTCTTTGGTGCAGCCCCTCAGGACTAGGCTAAGCAGCTTTTAAACTACCGATTGAACGGGGGCCCCCACCTGGGGGAGCTGTGAGCCAGAGAAAAGTGGTTTGTCAAGGTCTCGCAGAGAGTTACAGGATAGGGGCGAGGCTAGAACCAGATCTTCTGATTCCCAGTCCTACTGTAGTAATGGTGGTCAAGCCTCCTGTAATTGTAATCCTTTACTCAAACGAAATATTAGCAGATTGGGTTGGAATGGGGGGTGGCACCCCCACCCCAGCCCTCCAAGGCTGTTTCTGAGACACCTGGAGGAACCCCAGAACAGCTTGAAAACCACCCTCATGCACGTCAGAGCCCAGTGGGTAGCTCAGGCTGAGTTCCCCTCAGTAAAGTGAAGGATGGCGTCAACCTACGGGAACATTCAGGTTGCCAGAAGTCCCTATGCCCCATTTTGATGAGAAAAGGGCAGTGGCAGCCAGGTGCAGTCCTGGCATCGGCTTAGTAAAGACATCAGATCGATGCCCTTCGTCCTTGGTCCCAGGGTGACACCAGGGCCCCCCCGCCTCCTCCACATGTCCAGCTGGAGTCCTGTCGACCCGGGCAGCAGCTTTCCAGCGCATCTCCTTTTACTGCATCGTTTGTAAGGCAGGACTGTGGACTGTACATTTTAGAAAGATTTTTTTCCATAGAAAGTGAGAATAGGTAGCAAGAAAATCAATTAACCATGCTGGTATAGTGGGAATTTTATGTAAATGCAACTTTACTTAATATCCTGGAATCATCTTTGCCATTCAAGTGACTTTTACTTCTCCACTATAACATAGTCTCCCTAAGGTAATAATTATCTGAAGATACTTAAGATGTTTTCATTAGGTCTTGACAAGTACGCTGATTATTTGATTTATACAGTAGTTTTTAGCAGTTACTGTACAATGAATTGACCTTATATATTACAGAAAAATAGATTCATTAATCTATCTATTGCATAATGATTTTGACATTCGCACAAAGCTAGCCTGATTCTAGGAAAGCCCTGAAATTTAATGTTAATTCCAGTAACTTGTTTTTCCCTATTGAGGATACGATATATAAAAATGCCTATGAAAATTGAGGTTTTGAAAAATGGTGCCCAGATTCATATAAAGGCTGTGTCTATTCTGAGCAGAGTGTTATGAAAAGCCATAAAGTATAATTCAGGTTATCTAGGGCTATAAATCTCTTGTATTGAAAGAAAAAGCAAGAAGGTCCAAATAAATTGTGTAACATCTCTCCCCTGATTCTTTTCCTTGTAAGTTTCATTTAGACTTAGACAAAATAGATTTTTTAGGTCCCATACTAAAAAAAGAAAGCTGTCTCCTGATTCTGACTGCCTGATAAATCTGTTGCTGTTGGTCAGAACCCATTTGGCTGTGGATGTTGGTGGTCGAGTTCTGCTGCATAGATCAGGGGGATAGGGAGGGGAAAGCCTGGATGTGCCTGAGGGTCCTTTCTGCGCCAGGTCCTTCGTCAGGCACTTTATTGCTCTGACTGCAGACTCACCAAATGCCCCATGTCTGACCACACTTCCCAGCAGCTTGGTGTCCCTGAACAAGTGGAGTGGGGATTGACATGGTTACATGGCCTAAGGTCAGCCTGTGGATTGCTGCTTGGATAGCTGTGTTTGTCCAAAGTACTTAGGGGACTTTTAAGAGAGATCAGCACTCCGATCTTTGCAATTCTGGCTTAATAAGACACAGTAGGGCCTGGGAATATATATTTTTAAAAACCTCCAAAGATGATATTTGGCATAGTCAGGGTTGGGAAATACTGATGTCATTTCTTTCTATATTTTCTTTTTTTCTATCTTTCTTTCTTTCTTTCTTTCTTTCTTTCTTTCTTTCTTTCTTTCTTTCGAGAGAAAGAGAGCGAGAGTGCGCAAGTGCAAGCGGGGGCAGAGGGAGAAGGAGAGAGAGCATCCTAAGCAGGTTCCACACTCAGCATGGAGCCTGACTCAGGGCTTGATCTCGTGACCCTGTGATCATGACTTGAGCTGAAATCAAGAGTCGAACGCTTAACTGACTGAGCCACCCAGGCGCCCCGATGTCATTCATTTCTAAAACCAACTACTAAAGAGTTTCAGTTTTTTTTAAGATTCGGGTGTAGATTGAGTCAGTCCTGATGGCCTCTCTGTGTTCTTTGCAATAACCTTTTGTGGCTCTGTCCCTGCAGGCCCCAGTGTCCAGTGGTAAATGCAGAGTACACAACCTAAGGGAATACTCAGGTCCCACATGTTTATTATCTTGTAGAGTTAATGATCCCTAAAGATTTAATTTTTTTTTTAAATGAACAGGTATATACTTTCTAAAGTTATTCCTAGGAGAAAAACCAAGAGGAAATTTGCTTGGGTATTTTTCTGTTTTGTTACAGTTGCTCATTAAATCGCCTGACTCATTCATTGGATGTTCGTTCTTTTAGGGTAGAGGTTTTTGTCTTCATCTCTGTGTTATAACATAATGCCTTACATATGACAGGCTGTCACTGGACATTTGCTGAAAGAGTGTATGAATGAATGAGAAGCTGATAAACAATGTCAAAGAATTGGAATAGCCATGTTTTCCACCATTCCCCTGAAGCTGTCCATATGGTTAATGATTTTTGTTTTCTTCCAATGATAGGCAAAGGAAAATCCTCTAAAAACAAACCTTGAACTCATTACCAGATATTTTCTGGATCACTTTGGAAATACTACTAACAATTTCACTCAAGAAACACCAATCCCTGCACTCTCAATTCCAAAGAAAAATAACAAAGTACCATCAAGATGCTCAGAGACCACGCTGGTAAATATATATGACCTTGCAGATGAAGATGCAGGATGGAGAACATCATTGTCTGAAACAAGCAAAGCCAGGTATCTCTTCTTATATTTACACTGTGGATTAGTTTCCTATCACTGCCGTGACCAATGGCTGTAAACTGAGGGGCTGTAATAGTCAGGGTTTTCCAGAAAAACAGAACCAATAGGATGTGTGTGTGTGTATGTATGTGTGTGTGTTTGTGTGTGTGTGTGAATACATGTAAATATATATGCAAATATTGTATGTATTTATACACATATATCTTATTAATTTTATATTTCCTATATAAAGAGAATTATTAATTTTTTTTACTTCCTTTTTTTTTTTTTAAGTAGGCTCTATGCGCAGTGTGGAGCCCAACGTGGGGCTCGAGCTCACGACGCTGAGATTAAGACCTGAGCTGAAATCAAGAGTCGTTTGCTTAACTGATTAAGCCACCTAGGTGCCCCTATAAAGAGATTTATTTTAAGGACTTGGCTCACATGATTGTGGGAGCTGGCAAGTCTGAAATCTGTAGGGCAGACTGGCATGTTGGAAACTCAGGCAGTATTCTGTGTTATAGTCTTGAAGCAGAATTCTCTGGGAAACCTGTTTTTGCTCTTAGGGCCTTCTACTGATAGAATGGGACCACCCATATTATCTAGGGTAATCTTTTTTACTTCAAGTCAACTGATTGTAGATGTTAATCATATCTACGAACTATAGAAATGATCCCTGAAAGTATAGCCTTGATGTTAATCATATCTAAAGAATACCTTCAGGGAAGCATCTAGGCTAGTATTTGTCCAAACAACTAGGCAACATAGCCTAGCAAAGTTGACATATAAAATTTAACCATCACTGTGTCTTTTTTTTTTGTACCTATTTTTTATTGTTATGTTAATCACCATACATTACATCATTAGTTTTTTTTTTAAAGATTTTTATTTATTTATTTGACAGAGAGAGACATAGCGAGAGAGGGAACACAAGCAGGGGGAGAGGGAGAGGGAGAAGCAGACTCCCCGCTGAGCAGGGAGCCCGATGTGGGGCTCGATCCCAGGACCCTGGGATCATGACCTGAGCTGAAGGCAGACGCTTAATGACTGAGCCACCCAGGCGCCCCACATCATTAGTTTTTGATGTAGTGTTCCATGATTCATTGTTTGTGCATAGCACCCAGTGCTCCATGCAGAATGTGCCCTCTTTAATACCAATCACCAGGCTAACCCATCCTCCCACCCCCCTCCCCTCTAGAACCCTCAGTTTGTTTTTCAGAGTCCATTGTCTCTCATGGTTCGTCTCCCCCTCCGATTTCCCCCTCTTCATTCTTCCCCTCCTGCTATCTTCTTCTTCTTTTTTTTTTTCTTAACATATATTGCATTATTTTGTTCAGAGGTACTGATCTGTGATTCAACAGTCTTGCACAATTCACAGTGCTCACCATACCACATACCCTCCCCAGTGTCCATCACCCAGCCACCCCATCCCTCCCACCCCACCCCCCCACTCCAGCAACCCTCAGTTTGTTTCCTGAGATTAAGAATTCCTCATATCAGACCATCACTGTGTCTTAAAGCAACATAAATTTGTTATCTTTCGGTTCTGAGGTCAGAAGTTCAAATTTGGTCTCATTGGGTTAACAGCAAGGTGTCAGTAGGGCTTATTCCTTCTAGAGCCTTTTGGGGGAGAATCTGTTTCCTTTCCTTCTCTGGCTTCTAGCGGCTGCCTACATTCCTTGGCTTGTGGCCGCTTCCTCTGTCTTCAGAGCACATCCCTCCAGCCTCTGTTTCTGTCATCGTGTCTCCTACTCCTGACTCTGATCGCCTGCCTCCCTGTCACAAGGAGCCTTGTGACTCTAATGGGCCCTCCCAGATAATTGAGGGTCATCTCCCCACCTCAAAACCTTAACACATGTGCAAAGTCCCTTTAAGCCACATAAGGGAACATTCCCAGGTTCCAGGATCTGGACATCTTTGGGGAGCCATTATTCAGCCCCCACATTTTGTGCTTTCAAATTCCCTGTTGGGCAGCACTGTTCCTTTCCTCCGGAGGCCTTGGGTGTTCTCCTTGACCTCTCCTGCTCTATCATTTTTGCCTCTGTGAGTCCTTAATGACACTAGACCCTTTCCTGCTTTCTCTGCCCTGAGAGCAGTGCCTCAGTTCCTACCCTCCCCTCTTGCCCGGCCTAGCTCCCACAGGCTCTTCCTTGGTTTCCAGGCCTCTGGTCATCTGCTCCAATCCCCCCTCCACCTAAGATAGTGGGAGCTTCCCACAGACGAGTCAGGCCCGTGTTGCTCCCCTATGGAAAGGCCTTCAAACGCTTTCCCATGGCTTCCAGGGTAAAATCCAAACTCCTAAGGATAGCCTGCAAAGCTCTTTCTGTGATCAGCCTGCATGGCTCACCTGGGCCGGGCCTGCTTTTACAGGCCTCTGTGCTAGTGCCTGGGGCATTCTGGTTATCTCCTGCCCACTCCTTCCTCCAGACTCAGTGCTGCCTTCTCTGCAAGTCTCCGATTTCCCCAAGCTGGTTCGGGCCCCTTCCTCTGTGGGCTCTGCCTCTGTCACAGCACACCCATGACCGCTTCTCGCATGTGTGACCCAGTGCTTGGTAATCAGCAGTGTGGCACAGAGCAGCGGTCAACGCCCTTTAGGCCGGAGTCTAATGGTAGAAAACCTGCCAGCCCATGTCAGAGGAGCGCTGGGCTCTGGCTGATCCATTGCAGATCATAGGTAAGAGTCCTCTTTATCTAGGTCTCTTGCTCCTTCTTGTCATTCCTCCTTGCTTGGCTCACTGTGTCTCATCTTCTTTTGTTCTCTCTTTCTCTTTCCCCTACACACACACACACACACACACACACACACACACACACACTCTATCTCTCTTACTCTTTCAATGCCAAGCAACCCAAGAAGAGAAGCCATCGGCATGCCCAACTTAGCTGAACCTTAACTAAACAGTTGGGGAACACAAAGTTTGCCACACGTCTCCATCTACTAATGTCAATGATGCGCAGTAAGGCTGGGCTCCATGTAGCTCAGGGCTGTATTGAAGGGCTATGGTTTTCTGTAGTCACTTGGGTCTGGGACAAGGATGCTCTTTATATTTGAGGATACAAAATATTTAAGGATATTTGAGGAATCCTATCATGGGTCATCAATTTTGATTTTGTTTCTTGCTTCCTGGTCTTATTTTATAGGTCAGACTTGCCCTGATGTGAAAGTATTTTCTATTCTTTACCTTTAATGATAAAGCACTGGCTGGTTAGAATCATCGCAGATTTATGAATGGGCTTGCTATGAGTGCCTGTTGAATGTGGGATTTATTATCATTGTTAGCTAGTGGGGAATCTTTTTTTTTTTTTTTTTTTAAGATTTTATTTATTTGACAGAGAGAGCACAAGCAGAGGGAGAGAGAGGGAGAAGCAGGTTCCCTGCTGAGCAAGGAGCCCGATGTGGGACTCGATCCCAGGACTCTGGGATCATGACCTGGGCTAAAGGCAGCCGCTTAACCGACTGAGCCACCCAGGCGTCCCATGGGGAATCTGTTTTGATGGAAATATCCCTTTTTTGTAGGCATGACAATCTTGATGGGGATTTACTTGGTAACTTCGTATCATCCAAAAGGCCCCCCTACAAAAGTAAGCCCACCCAAGCTATCCCAGGTGAAAGCCCCGCCGTGGCCCCTGCGTGGGAGAAGATGGACAAGCTTCAGTCGTCAGAGCTTTCCTTGGACACAAAGAGGATGGGCAAGAAGATGAGGCCAAAGTCTGGCCTGATTGTCCGAGGCATGATTACTGGGCCCATGGCCAGTTCCCCGCAGGTAGGTTGCTGCTCTCACAGCTATGGTGAGAGCAGAAAGTGAAAACCCGGCAGGGCTTAAGGAGTTTATTTGAGGGTACTCCACAAGGCAGTCCAAGAAGGGGTCATCTGTGTATTCAGATGGGAGGAACACCTGCCTGTATTTTCTTTGGTTGTACTATCAACTCCCTGTGGGATCATGGGCAGGCCTCATCTCCTTTCCTGCCCTCAGTTTACCCATCAGGTCAATGAGGTGGATGCCATGGCTTTATCTTCCTTTGCTGAGTGAGAACACATCTACCAGTTTTCCCTTTGCCATTCAGGAGTTGGGGCAAGCCATCCAAGTCTAGAGAACATCTTTTTTATTTTTATTATTTTTAAAAATCTCTTTTATTTTTTAGAACATAGTAAAAAGGGAAAAAGAAATCCCAGTCTTTATGGTTTCATTTGCTTTGCTTTAAAAAGAAAGTCTAATATGTCCCATCATTGTTTCATAGTCTTCCTTAAGGAGGGGCTCTGGTAGGGTCCCATTAGGTGGGGGGGGGGCTGAACCAAACGAGAGAATGAATGTAAAAGGAGTTTGTAAAACCACAAAGAAACAGGAAAACAAAGGAAAATCAAACACCAAACTCACAGTGTGGTATTAATCCAGTGAGAGAGCCCGAACAAACCCACATAGGTCATGTGTGTCCGTGGTGGGTCACCCGTCTTCTGGACTGCATGGCTGGATGTGGACCGTGGCTCTGGAGGCCAGCGCTGTTCTCCCAATTGGAATCAGGACAGAAAGAAGCCGACCGTCTCCCTGCCTCTGCCTACATCATGTGGGCAGGGGGTTGGGGGATGGGTTTGGTCCTTTGGAAAATAATGGTTTACTGAGTTATCTGAGTTACTGAGATCTTCTGAGTGTTGACATTTCACTATAAACAATAAACCCACATCAAAAAAGTCACATTTCTTGATGTTACCATCCGATTCGCTGGAAAAGTGTTTAGGTGTTGAGAAGCCATCAGGCTCCCAGTGGCTGAGGCAAGTTTCCCCAGATTTTAATTTTTACCTGACAATTTATATTTTATCACTGACAGTCCATCAGTTGTTTCCCTTGAAACGACAGGCTCAGCTTATTTCCAAGAAAATGCCTGCCGAATACTCAAGTCTGAATAACCACAGTTCGTCTGTCAGTTGTTCCATGGAAAAAACTAGCAAGTTCAATTCACAGCTCCGATGGTTGTGCAAGTGCTGTTCCTCAAGACAGCTGTCATCCTCTGCATCGGGCAGAGTGCTTATGGATGCCTTCCATTTTGCCACATGGACTGTTAAAGAGATGTGTGCCGTGCAGTTGAGATTGAATATAATTAATACTTTTTATGCTTCAGCATGGACAGTCTTAAATTTTCTTTTTTAAGATTTTATTTATTTATTTATCTGAGAGAGAGAGAGAGGGAGCGCATGAGCAGGGGGGAGGGGCGGAGAGAAGGAGAGAATCTCGAGCAGACCCCACCCTCAGTGTGGAGGCAACCTCACGACCCTGAGATCATGACCCGAGCTGAAATCAAGGGCCGGGTGCTTAGCGGACTGAGCCGCCCAGGCGCCCCCAGCATGGATATTCTTAGGTGAAATTAGCATTTTACTTATTTATTTTTATTGCAAGTGGTGGCAAATACCTCCAGCACTAGCTGGTCAAGTTTGGTGTCACTGTCCTGATTTGTGCTATAGGCCAGCAGTTTTTTGCACCCAGTTCATTTGTATTATCACTGCAAATGTCAACACAGTGAAAAGGGCAAATCATGTCATATTATTATGATGAAAATAGGTTTGAGCTCCCTAAAAGGATTTGGGGACCCTTAAGGCCAGGCAGACCACACTTTGAGAACTGGTGGACCAGATGAATGCCAGAGTCCTGTCCTACAATGACATCCAATCAATCACATCCGTGTAGTTGAGAGCCCCTTCACAAGTGAGGTGTGAGGCAGATGACCTGGATCTGCTTTACTGCTGGAAGATTGTCCCAAACTTCTAGAAGGGGGAATGATTGCCTTGGGAGGTGTGTTTTTCCCTTGGGATATCCGAATCCTGTGAAGGGCATTGAAAGATAGGATAGGCTGTCGTAGAATTTCCCCAGGTTTTCTAGAAAGTGTTTTATGGGTCTTTGAGCACCTTGGCCGTACTTTCTTGTTTGCTCAAGAGAAAAACGCAAACTTTGCTAGGTATTTCATCATTTCGCTACTAGATCAGTTCTGCCCTTTTAAAGGATGAGTAAGAGTTTGGGTTCCCTGCCTTTGGCCAGAAGTTTGGCTCTCCTTGGGAATGGTGACTAATATTTCCTTCACTCTGTGGCAGGGGAGGCCCTGGTGGCTTTTGGAGGTTTGTAGTGCCTAGTAATTTACAGTAGGCAAGAATACTACAGAATTAGCTGTTTCTATTCCAGCTCAGGCTTTACCATTTGGTTCAGGGTTATTTCTGGAAATGCCGAGAGATCCCAAATTTTAAACCCAGGAAAAGCCTCACAGGTCTATTCTTGTCCCCTCTACCTCCACTCCCTGACCCTAGGTTGGTAAACAACTTGAGTTCCCATTTTATTAGTTAATCATTGATAGTAAGAGAGGAAATTTCAGTTGACTCCTTTGGAATTCCTTCAAACACTAAGCAAGCCTTGAGTGCTTACTAGGGGTAGGTCACTGAGCTGGGAGCTCGGTGGATACCAGAGATAAATGAAGACTGGCCTCTGCCATTCCTGGTCTGTTAGCAGGAGGGGTGAAGGCCCTGTGTGAGTGGGGACTGGGTAGAGGCTGTGGAGTGGTGGCAGATATTGGTTGACCGCCCTGATGGGTCCGGCTCTGTGCCAGTGCCTTCCATGGGCCTCTCCTTTAATGCCACCATCTTGTGCAAGATAGATGCTACAGGTCCCCAATCCCTCATCCACCCTTTGGGCCACATGTGTTTTGGAATTGAGAATTTCTTTATTATCAGAAAAGCAACACTGTGCACAAACCACATAACCACCTGCAGTCAGATTTGGGGTAGTACCCCATAAGCAAAAAGGACTGTGAGCAACCTCATAGCAGTTAAAAAGAATTTGCCATAGGATTCCAAAAGAAACTTGTTTTGGGAGGTTTTAGAAAGTACAGACGGTGGATTGTGGGCTGGTTATATTACAAGTGAGGGCAGGGCAGGACAGAGAAACTAATAATTTGGCACAAGGGATATGGCTGGTGGGCAGGGGTGTAGGCAGTAGAAGGCAGGCCTGAGCCTGGAGCTTCCCCTGCTGCTGGAAGGTGCTCTCTTTAAGGGGTGAGGGAGAAGGGCTGAGCACGCTCCTGGGCTTATGCAGGTGGAGCACAGTGAAAGCATTACAGAGCGGGGAGCCTGTGAGTACCTCCCCAAACAGTAGGCAGGGTTTTAAGAGGAGTTGGGGATGGATGGTGAACGACGTTCCGGGGAGAGGAAACATCGTGGGCAAATGCTTGTAGTGGGATGGAGTATTTCCTCACCTCCCTTGAAGGGGATCCTTACTGCCCTTGTGCTCGCCCCTTCTAGGATTCCCTCCGCAAACGCTCCCTGAGGCGGTCCCCGGCCTTGAGCAGCACGACCCAGGCCCCCGAGGAAGAGAGCTGGAAAGTGCCTGGGCTCTCCACCCGTGCCCCAGCCTGTCCCACGGCCCAGGAGGGCCTGGCTTCCGGCACTGGCTCCCCTTCCAGGAGCCCCCTGGGCCTGCTCAGTGAGCTGACCTCAGAAAAGCGGAGAACCACGCCCGGCAGCCCCCCTCACTTGTCCGGCAAAGGGCTGCAGCAGAGGGCGAGCAGCAGGTGGCGAGATCTCGCAGAGGATAGCCCGGCTGTGGATGGCGGCCCCGAGGCCAACGGGTCGCCCTTGAAGTTCTCCTTGCCAGGTGGGACTTCCAGGCCGGCCCAGGAGAGGTTGGAAAGGACGTTCAAGAGGCAGGGGAGCCAGCCCCTGCCCCTCAGGTGAGCATGCTGTGCTGAGGTGATGGCCCAGGCCCCAGTGGCTCCTTGGGCTCTGAGAGCAAGCCTGTGAAGCGGAGAAGGTGGGTATGGTCCCTCCACCAGGGAGCAGACAGCCCAGAGCGTACCCACACAGGAAGCTCCAGGGAAGGTTTCCTTGGTCCTTCTTTCTTCTCAAAGTCAAGAAGGCTTTGGCAGATGGTTCCCAGACCGGCCTGCAGCAACATGGCCAGGCTGACGTGGTGTGAGAGGCATTTCCTGTGGGGGACCCCAGATGTGGTTACGCATCAGCGCCCACAAGCCTCTTCTGGGGCATTTCTTCCCCCCTCCCCCATCCTTTTATGCTTTCACAGTAGATCTTGATGATTCCTATGTTGATTGATTTTTCACTGGTAAACCAACCTTACATTCCAGGAATAAATCTCACTTGGATATATTATCTTTTTATATATTGTTTGATTCAATTTATTCATGTTTGTATGTAAATACAATAGAATTGTCTCTAAATTCCTGAAGGGGATTGGTTGGCAAATTTCCTTTCTTGCAACACCCTCATGAGATTGTGGGATCTAGAATACGCTAGCAGGGGTGCCCCTTTTTTCTCTTCTCTTCAAGAGTTAGGCACTTGGGCACTGGTGGTATGTGGCAAGCTAAGTAGATACGTCCGTGAACTCCCTTGGTGACCCTAGGGAAGCTGGGCCTACTCTGCTTAACACATTTCGTGGCTACGTTATCTGATGCATATACATGTAGAATTTTTAATATCTTCGGGATGGATAGACTTTTCTATCGTTATGAAATCTCTATCTCTAGTAATGCTTACTGCCTTTGTGTCTATTTAGGTAGAGCGACCCCGGCCTTCCATTGATTATAGTATATCTATGGGATGTCTTTTTCCATTTTTTTTATTGTATCCATTCTGTAGCCTTTTACTTAGGGGTTCCAACCAAAATCCTATGGGGTTTGCCAGGATCCTTCCCTCTTTTTAAGAAAATTGTAATTTATTCAAACTGAACACGCGCGCGCGCGCGCACACACACACACACGCACACAACCCGGTTCACCCATTTCTCCTGCCCCCCAACTCCCCTCAGCCTTTTTTTTGGTAATACCTTTTATGGCCACAGATTTCCTTCTGAGCAATGCTTTGTTTGTATCCCATGAGTTTGTATGTTATACATTCATATGATTTAGTTTAAATATTTTCTAATTCTTGTTGTGATTTCTTCTTTTGCCCCATAGGTCATTTAGACATGTATCGACCAAAACAAACATCTGGGGTGTTTTTCTGGTTTCTGCGTTTGATTCCTGGCTTCTTTTCCCTTCTGCCATTATACACTCTTTATGATTTCAATCTTTTGATATTTGTTGAGATTTCTTTATGGTCCAGTGTATATTTAAAGCTTGTCTCTTATAAGCAGCATAAATTTGGAATTTTTAATCCTATCAGATAATTTTTCTTTTAGTTGGGATAATTACTGCTTTTACATTTTCGTTTTGTGTTTGTTAGGATGAAAAGATCCACTTCTGTTCCTCTTCATAGAGTAAGACAGTTTTCCCAGCACCTTCTGCAATCTGTTCTTCACCCCATTGATTTATGAAGCCACCTTTATTCTTTCCTAAGTTCCCATTTCAACATGGGTCTGTCTTTGAGCTCTCTATTGTGTTTATTGTCTTTTGTCCTTTTTTAAAAACTAAAACCACATAACTATAGCTTTTATTATTATGGCTTTGTAGTTATAGCTTAGTATCTTGGTAGGGCCAGTCCCCCTTCTTTTCCTTTGTTTTAGCATTGGTGTAGCTACTTATAGATCTTTATTCTTTCTACAGGCCTTTTTCCTGTTACCCAATGTGTGTAGCTTATTTTCCCACAAGAGGGAGAACTGGCTTGTTCCCTTGCTGTAAAGGCCCGGCTTCCAGATCCTGGCTGATCTGGGCTAGTTATTTGTTTCTGGACTTCATTGTCTCTGACTGTAAAATGTGGCCACTGGGTAGATGATTTCCAGCTTTCCTTCAAGCTTATGCATTTTGCTGGCCTAGGATTCTTACTTCCAGAGTCATTCTGGGCCCTCTGCTTCCGTCATCAGATATTTATTGAGTATCTACTGTTTACAGCATACTTAGGAGGTGTGGCACCTGGGCTCTGGAATCTGATGAACTGGACTGGCAAACCCATTCTGCCCCTTAGAACCACTGTGGCCTTGGACTGGTAATTAAACCATTGAAAAATGGTATGAACTTTGTCTTACAGGAAGCAGGTAAAAGTACATTCACAACCTCTCCCCCAATACCAGGCAAAGTATAATTAGGGGTGTTTAACACATGTTTAATAGTGTTGACCCTATATTGACCAGTCAACAAACATTTTGGGGGCTTTGTGTTTGCCTACCACTTACTTTCTATTTGCTGGGCACTATGCTAAGTACTTGTATATATTATCCCATTTGCTCTTTATAATAATCCATTGAGGTGTGAGTATTATTGTTGGTTTTCTTTTCTTTTGTGTTCTCACTAAAAAGTATTCCTCTCCTGAGTTCTGAACAAATTGACAAATCAAAGAAAGGGTATCAGTTAGACTGGAGTAACATACATATCATTTCTGTGATCGATAAGGGGAAGATAGAAGACACAGCAAATCACAATCATGAGGCCCAGTGGGCCCGGAGCTAGACAGACTTGCTCACCTCATGTCAGGCCTAGGGCAGGTCAGCTCACATGGCCACATGGTGGGAGGGGCTGCCCCCCTGGAAAGCAGCTCTCTCTCAAGAGTAAAAGGGTACAACTGAGCTTCATGTCCCCTCTTTCTTTCTTTCCCAGATTAACCAGGTAAGTCATACTTCCTCCCTTTGGATGCAGTGCACAGAGGGGAGGAGAGTAGAGGTCTGCAGGAGGGTAGACTAGTAGAGCTCCCTCCAAACTCCCAGGAGACACTGGGAGTTAAGAATGAGCATCCTCCCAGCACTTATTATCCCGATGTTACAGATGAGGAAATTGAGGCCAGAGAGTTTAAGGAACCTGTCAAGGTTCTGGGTGGAAGCAGGTCCCAGGGCTCACAGTTTGGTGGATGGAGTATGGTTTGGATTTCAGCTGACTCTTGTCCCCTCCGCTAGGCATCTTTGTGCAGTGCACATACTACATAATGGTATGCAGCACCTTTGATTTAAAACCAGGGCCAGAGTAATCTCCCTGCCCTTCCCAGCCCCCCTCCATCAGTCCTGCCCACCCGCACCCCCTCCCCATTTATGTCATTTGATTCAGTAAATGGGGATGTGAGTCCTAGTGTGTGTCAGATCCTGTGAGTGTCTGATCTTCAAGGTGAAGGAGACGTGTGTGTGTGTGTGTGTGTGTGTGTGTGTGTGTGTGTGTGTGGTCATTTTAAAGCACGACAGAGGACAGTGAGGCCACAGCAGAACTGGCTTGTATGTGCAGCCTTGCTGCGTCACCTGGGCCTAATGGAGCTGAGGGAGGTGGCCACGTGGAGCCTTCTCCGGGCCTTGCAACACGGGGCTCAGGGCTGGCCACAGGAGTCCCAGCTGGGGACAGAGGCAGGGGCAGGAGCGGGGAGCATGTGTCCTGGGAGAGAGGGGGCAGGTGCACCATCTGACCCGCTGAGATGTCAGGGAACACAAATATCTCTGCCTCCGGACTCCTCGGATCTGACTCAGTAGCCCAGGGGATGATTTCCTGCTTTGATTTTTGTTTCTTTCCTGTATCCTTTGGTCTCAGAAGACCCTTGGGAACTATGTCGTCTGGGCTCCCACTGTGGGGGTTGTGGCTGTTTGGGATCATGTGGCATGCGTCCCTGGCTTGTCAGGGCTGCCCTTGTGGGGTTTCTGTGATGATCAGTTGGATGTGCTGGGTCTCTGGCCCTGACCTGGTCCCGCAGCCCTTGCCTCGCTCTGCTTCCTGCCATTGCGCTGTGTCACAGGCAGGTACCTTCCTCTGCACCTTTACAGATCTTGCCGTCGCCCACACGCCGGGGCCGGGGCAGGTCCTCGGGAAACCCTAGGTGCAGGACTAAGCACTGGGAGAGGTGTTCTTTATTTATCAGTCCCCAGAGCCAGCTGTCCCAAGCCTGGTGGCTCTCATATGGCACTCTGTGAAGTTTGGTGGTCTGGTTGGGGGTGACCTCACTTGTGGTGCTTACAGACGTCTCCGGGGGGCATGCTGGCCTGTCATTTGTGTAAGAATCCCTCAGAGTGACTCTCTGGGCCTTTTGATGGCTGCACGGACTTTGCCATGGTGGTTTTTCTGCAGATGAGCTCAAAACCCGTCCCGTGGGGTATCTTGCAGTAGGAAGTGGCTCCAGCTTCTGTGTTCCAGGTATGCACGGGCCACGCAAGCTCTGGCACTTACTGTTTGCCCAGTGTCATCACGGTCATGAGATTGAGAGGAATTGTTGGCCTCCCTTGGGGATTCAGCCCACAGCAGTGGCCACAGCAACAGTCTCTAGGGGCCAGAGCCTTTGAGCAAATGCGTGTCCCCTCAGGCAGCTTGAGCCATGGGGCCTTGGAACTTTGGGGATGAAGCCCAGCAGTGTGAGTGCTTTTAAAGATTTATTTATTTGAGGTGGGGTGGGGGGAGACTGAGTGTGCTTGAACACGAGTGCAGGGAGGGGCAGAGGGAGGGGAGAGAGAAACTTTGGCAGACTCCTCGCTGAGCTTGGAGCCCGACATGGGCCTCTGTCTCACAACCCTGGTATCATGACCTGAGCTGAAACCGAGTCGGATGCTTAACTGACTGCGCCACCCAGGGACCCCCAGGAGTGTGTTTTAACAAGTCCTCCAGGTGATGTGCTCCAGGCTGAGGTTGGGGAACCAGTGCTGTAGAAGCCCAGCCTGCGATGGAGGGTCAGTTGCATGTAATTACTGGGGGCGCTCTTAGGAGAAAGGCAGTGGGGGAAGCAGGCCAGGGCAGGGGAAGGTCTCAGCCAGGATGTGGGGCCTCAGTCGGATCCCACAAGGAGCTGAGAGGGTGAATTGACCCAGAGCTGCCCCACCATT